ATCGAACAGTTCCCATAAGCCTGAGCAATCTCCCCTATTATCTCTGCACAAACCTCCTAATTGTTCTCTCAATTGGAGAAATTCACATACGCATCACGCGAATATAAACAAATCCAGGTTTTCCATTCATTTCACCTGTCACCCGAAGTAAATTAGAAATAATAATATTCATCTTTGTTCTCGCTTCTTGCCATCGGTGGGTGATCAGCTAGTCTGTGAGAATGGTGAGTCAGGTTTAATCTTGTATTTNTCCAGGTTTTCCATTCATTTCACCTGTCACCCGAAGTAAATTAGAAATAATAATATTCATCTTTGTTCTCGCTTCTTGCCATCGGTGGGTGATCAGCTAGTCTGTGAGAATGGTGAGTCAGGTTTAATCTTGTATTTTTATTTATGCCTCTAGGGACGGAAAACCGCGATTCTAACCTCGCTTCGCTCGGTTAAATCGCGGTTTTGAGTCCTCGAGACATAAAATATCGTGTGCCACATGCCAGTAAAAGTATTTTTGTCATTCCGGCCCTGAGGCAACGCTTCACGGACGCTCCGCTCCGCGTCCGTGAATCTCTGCCTATGGCCGTCATAACAAAAATAGTATATTTCGTCACTGGGCCGAAAGAAACTTTTCTGGCGAATATGAGTTTGCAGCCCGATCCGAAGGCGAGGGCTGCAATCATATGAGCTAGAAAAGTTTTTTTTGGCCGTATGACGAACAGTATTTGTTGTTATGACGGCCGTAGGCAGAGATTCACGGACGCTGAGCGGAGCGCGGCGTCCGTGAAGCGCTGCCTCACGGCCGGAATCACAAAAATACTGTTCGTCATATGACCAAAATAGTATATTTCGTCACTAGGCCGAAAGAAACTTTTTTGTCATTCCGGCCGTGAGTTCTCATATTCGGTGAGAAACTCATATTCGCCAGAAAAGTTTCTTTCGGCCTAGTGACGAAATATACTATTTCTCACTCATGTGATTATAACCCTCGCCTTCGGCTCGGGTTATAACGTCACATTCGTCAGAAAATACTTTTACTCCCTAGGGGCACAATATACTATTTTCTTGTAGTATTTTTTTTGGATGATAATACTCATATTTATCAGTAGCCTTTGTCAGAATCTCTGTGAGTACACAAGGTACACAGGATAGAAGTATTGTTTTTAAGGTTGGAATACGTTATTTAACCCGTCAGTAGGCGCGCTATGAGCCTTTCTCTCCCAACAATTTTTACTCCATAGGAAATATTTCCTAAAACTGCAAATATTTTGTTGAAATTTTTTAAATGCCTAAGTAACTCTTCGAGTTGACTCCGAAGGTGATAAAAGTCGTCTATCGGTCAGCGATGAGTAGAAAAAAATTTTTTTTTTTTGGCTCGGCCAAAGTTTTCTACGTGTTGCGGGTACGGGACTCGTGCCGCTGAACCCCGAACAGCGCTGGCTGCGGCGATATTTGGCTCTATCTTTACGAGTAACCGATGAGAGATTCTCTCTTGGCACGTCTACTGACAGGTTAAGGGCTACCTCCTGGTCCGGAAGTTTAGGCCTTACTGACAGGCATTACAACTCAACAACTTTGCTATAATAGCTTGGTAAAAGGAACTTTCATCCCCATCCTTTTTTCATCTATTCATTCACTTTGTATCATCATCTGAAGTAGTCCTAAAAAGAAAAAAAATTCCATACTATTGTATAATTTTTCACTCTTAACCTTCTCTTTTATTCCCTGTTTGAATTACCTAGATACCAATTTATTCAGTCGGTTTATTTTAGACATTGAAGAGGAATTGGCTGAGAGTTGTTCAATCGATTGCTATTATGTACAAATACTCATCGTCAGTATTTTTCAATTCATCACTTTTCTATCAGAAAAGGATTAACTTCCTCAACAAATAACATAGTACATGCTGCAGTTACTGACTAATTTATTCCCTTAACAGTAGAGTGTTGTATGTGCCCGATTCCGAGCCCTCTAGCAATCCAAATATTTTGAATTTTCAAGTGTTACAGATTATCTACTCTGAGAAAAACTGATACTAAATTTAATAATTTGCCTTAAAATTTACCTTCCAATCACTCGTCACAACCGGGAGTGTATAGTTTTCCTGCCAAAAATTGACAAATAAATTGGTAGAATGCTCCACATGATTTTTTGCCACAATTTTTGATTCTAAGAATTTAGAAGTTTCTGCTATAGCAAATATATTTCTTGCTATCCTGGTACAGATACACATTCTTCTAATGAAAAAAAATGAATTCAGGACGACGATGACCAGTACCAGGCTGGCTACGATGTGGGTTCATTTCCCCAGGACTTCGGATACACTCCCTTCGATCCCGAGGGCGATGGCTCCACGGGTCTACTTCCAGGAGAGCAGAAGCCCCGTATCCTTCTCATGGGCCTCAGAAGGTGACAAACAAGCCTCCAAAATCTCGCAAAACTAACAGGAAGAAATCGAAAATTCTGTCCGGATTATTTTGCTATCATTTTCCAGATTTAAAGATTCAGAAAAGTATATCAAGTGACCATTTTTTCATAGAAAATTTAATATTTACAAGAATAACCTCCGTAAAATTTGTCAAAGAAAGACAAATTGCAAAATCACTCCAAATAATTTTTACTATAAAAAACATCTGCGAATATAAGTGTTAGAGAAATTCATGCCATGTTCCTTTTGCAAACGAAATTCTATAGTTTAGTAAGAAAGTCTCTTGGCATTTTTCTCAAGATCTCATTCCAAGGATATTGAATTGATATCGATAAAATTCATTAGGAGTGGAAAATCATCAATCCAGAAAGTGGTCTTCCATAAGATGTCGCCGAACGAGACGCTCTTCTTAGAAAGCACCAACAAGATCATAAAAGACGATATAAGCAACTCAAGTTTCGTGCAATTCCAGATCTGGGACTTTCCAGGTCAGATTGACTTCTTTGATCCGACTTTCGACAGTGACATGATCTTCGGTGGTTGTGGAGCTCTGGTATTCGTCATCGACGCTCAGGATGACTATATGGAGGCCCTAAACAAGCTTCAATTAACAGTGACAAAAGCCTACAAGGTCAATCAAGCCATAAAATTCGAGGTTTTCATTCACAAAGTCGATGGTTTATCAGACGATTACAAGATGGAGACTCAAAGGGACATTCACACGAGGGCCAACGACGATTTAGCAGATTCAAACTACGATCAGATTCATTTAAGTTTCCATTTAACATCTATTTACGATCACAGCATCTTCGAAGCCTTCAGCAAAGTCGTGCAGAAATTAATTCCTCAATTACCAACTTTGGAGAATTTATTAAACATTTTAATATCTAATTCAGCAATTGAAAAAGCTTTTTTATTTGACGTTGTTTCAAAGATTTACATCGCGACTGATAGTTCTCCGGTGGACATGCAGAGTTACGAACTTTGTTGTGATATGATTGATGTTGTAATTGACGTCTCCTGCATCTATGGGTTGAGAGAAGATCTGGAAGCTGCTGCCTTCGATAATCAGAGCTCCAGTTTGATAAAACTTAATAATGGAACGATTCTTTACTTGAGAGAAGTCAATAAATTTTTGGCTCTTGTTTGTATCCTGAGGGAGGATAATTTTGATAGACAGGGGGTCATTGATTACAACTTCCTGTGCTTCAGGAAGGCCATCCAGCAGGTGTTTGAGCTCAGGAATAAAGCGGCTAGTGCTAATAACCATTCGACGAGCCCGACTAGTGCTACTGAGGAAAATAGTGCTCCTGGGGGACAGTCTGGCAATAATGGACAGAATGGCACTGCTATCGTGCTCGCACAGAGTTAATCAATGAGTCTCATTTAATAAGATAGTGAGCGGTGAAAAATTGGAGAAAGTGTCAACATATTTACAGGAAGAGCTATATCAGATTCTTAGAAAGTAGGTGAGTCCAAAAATGTTCTAACAATCATTTTGCAACTACCGTTGTAAATAAGGAGTCCCGAGAACAACGTTAATGTCATTCACCATTTTTTTGTAAACCTATTCGTTACCGAAATACTCTCAAAATAATTTCTGTTACATTTTAGACTCACCTGTCTTCAGCCCTTCGCTACATAATCAAGTGATTGATTGATCAACATTAACATCTGTATATTTGTACGATGCATTTAGCATAAGAATCAAAGAATTAAATGTAAATATAATTGATGAATTACTTCACACAACAGTCCCATGATTGGATATTGTAGCATTTCAATTGCGAAGTGCTTAATTAAGTGATAGATTGGTTAATCGATGGAGTAATATTTTATATGTAATTACAAAGCAAGTAGGATTATGAGAATAATTTACTTTTTAAATTCATCAGGCGGCCGCTGAGGTTGTAACGAGACAAATCGAAGAAGTTCTTTATTGATTGGTACCAGAGGTGGAAGACTGGTTCATCGTATTCACGGAGAAAAATTTCAGTTGGAATTTGTTTGGCTGAATTTAATTCACTCCAGAGTTGATTGCCATTTTTTATCAACAGACTGATTGGGAGGGGAATGCCTGAGGGGGGGAGAGTCTGGTGGGCAACTTCGGCTAGGAACTCTCTCATAATGGGAATTTTGGAAGTCATTTTATCTGGAAATTGGGAGGAAGAAGTATTTATTATCACATTTTTCGACAGTTTTAGGATGAATTGTGTAAAAACCTCATGACCAATTTTCTCACATTTAAAAAAGATCACATGATATTTCTTGAATAAGTAGTTGGTTTCCGATATAAATCTTATATATATAAAAGAGGAGCGTGGTTATGTGAACGCTCACTTTTCTCCACAACCACCTATCCCCGTTCATTCGCGTTTATTGGGGTAGATAGCCCTTACTCTCTATTTCAAAGTAAAAGAGTTCGGTGGCGTTGGCTGTCATGGGTGGCAGTGGATAGTAAACGAAGGCTCTAGAAAGATCTAAAAATTTCCAGAGCATTCTCGAAATTTCTAGAACTTTCTGGACAATGATGAAATATTCTAGAACCTTCAAGACTAAAGTTATAAATTCTAATAAACTCAAGGGGTTTCTGGAAATTTCGAGGGAATGCAATGAGTTTTTAGTAAATTTGACAGAATCTCGGGAGTTTCTCAAAAGTTAGAGAGAATTGAGGGAGTGTCTGGATAATTAGATAAAATTCAAGAGAGTTTGACGACGGTGGCTGTGTATGGGTGGCAGTGGGTGCCAAACGAGGATTCTGAGAAGAACATTCTCGAAATTTTTAGAACTTTCTGGAAAACGATGGAATGTTCTAGAACCGTTACAACTAAAATAATAAATTCAAGGAGCTTTTAGAAAATTCGAGAAAATCTCCGGATTTTCTAAAAATTTCGAGGAAATTGAGGATATTTCTGGACAACTCAAGAAAATTCTAGAAATTCTTGAGGAATTCTACAAATTTCTAAGAATTTCGAGGAAATTGCGGGAGTCTTTAGAAAATTCGACAGAATTCAAGAAAATTCTATTAGGTGTGTGAATGACTCCGCCCTTTCCCAACAGATGTCGTTTTTAGTATTGTTTACATGCACTAATAAATTGCAGCACTTGTATTCGATAGTACTTTATGTCAGCTGTCAAATGCACAATGTGACATTTGGTTGAAATGTAAGCAACAAGTGTTTTTACCTCCGTGACAATGTCGGTTTTCGTTCCAAGTAAACATTTGCGGGAAGTATTATTACTCTATTATATTGCAAAGAAAAGTGTAGCGGAAACTCATCGTTTGCTTGTGCAGATTTACGGTGAGCATGCTCCATCTAATACAACTTGCAAGGAATGGTTTCGGCGATCTCAAAATAATGATTTTGGCACTGAAGACAAAGAACATGAAAAACCATCAAAAACCTAATAAATATAGGATAAGGGTGCTACGGGTCATAAGGGTCATAGAAGGGCCGAGAGTCATGAGGGTCATAAATGTGCTAAGGGTCACGAGGGTCATAGAGGTGCTAAGGCTCATAGGGGTGTTAAGAATCATAAGGGTCATAGAAGGGCCGAGAGTCATGAGGGTCATAAATGTGCTAAGGGTCACGAGGGTCATAGAGGTGCCAAGGGTCATAGGGATGTTAAGGGTCATGAAGGTTATAGAGGCTAAGGGTCATAAGGGGCACGGGGGTCTCAAGGGAAATAGAGGCCCTAAAGGTCATAAGGGTCATAGGGGTGCTAAGGGTCATAGAGGGGCTAAGAGTTATGAGGGCCACGAGGGTCACAGATGTACTAAGGGTTTTAAGGGTCACGAAGGTCATCGTGATCCTTAATATAGATAAGGGTCATAGGGGTGCTAAGGGTCATAGAGGAGCTAAGAGTCATAAGGGTCACGAGGGTCATAGAGGTGCTAAGGGACATAAGGATCACGAGGGTCAGAGAAGTGCTAAGGGTCATAGGGGTGTTAAGGGTCATAGAGGGGCTAAGGGTCATAAGGATCACGGGGGTCTCAAAGGTCACAAGAGTCATAGGGGTTCTAAATGTCACAGAGGTGCTAAGGATGACGAGGGTCATAGGAGTGGTAAGGGTCACGAGGGTCATAGGATCGCTGAGGGTCACGAAGGTCATAGGAGCACTAAGGGTCACGAGGGTCATAGCGGTGGTAAGGGTCATGAGGGGTGCCCATATACGGGGGGTGTTCATATATGGGGGATGCCTATATATATATATGGGGGGTGCCCATATATGGGGAGGTGCCNGGTGAGCGGAGCGAGCAGGGGGCGTAGCCCCCTAGTATATATAGTATATTTCGTCACTAGGCCGAAAGAAACTTTTCTGGCGAATATGAGTTTGCAGCCCGAGCCGAAGGCGAGGGCTGCAATCATATGAACTAGAAAAGTTTTTTTTGGCCGTATGACGAACAGTATTTTTTGTTATGACGGCCGTAGGCAGAGATTCACGGACGCGGAGCGGAGCGCAGCGTCCGTGAAGCGCTGCCTCACGGCCGGAATGACAAAAATATTATTCTTTGACATCTAACGACCATTTCGAAGAAAGAAGACAGAATACTAAATCTGATGACAATTGTAATCCAAGGAGCACATTTAAGGTAACTACTTAAAAAATGATATTTTTGGATGAAGTAAGGAGGAAAATGGGCTGTCGAAAGTCGCTCAGTCAGTAACTTAGTAAGTCCCTTCAGCGATACCATATAGACTTGAAAATTTCAAGGCGGCTCCCGCTGAGCAATAGAAACATTTCAAGAGTTTTGCTCGATTTCCTCATTTATTAATGGAAACTTTGTGAGTCATTGGCCCGACTTACACCGTAGACTTGATCCAAACTAAAGTTCAAGTACTTGTTGATCAAAAGGTAATGGTCAACATGGGTCAGACAAACGACTTCTGAAGACACAATTTATTATCTCAAACGATGTTCACGCCAAAATTAATCCCAAGTTCATTCCTGATATAATGAAGTCTAATTTATTTAGAGATCAGGAGTGATAGAATTCAGTGAATTACAAAAAAACTGGATTTATTTAGGATATTTCTCAATATCTCGATAAGAAATTTCATTAGATACATCGACAATGAGTTCATAATTTCATGGGGAATTAATGAATGTATTTAATGAGGGGACGGAAAATGTACAAATGACCACGTTTTTGGTAATAACATCATATTGAACGAAATTAATTTAATTGATTAGAATGTATAAAGAGTTTTGTGTGTAATTTGTGGGAACAACTGCATAGCACTTTCAGTTAAAAGCAGATGTCAAGCCAGCCACTGGAAAAAAACACATGAAAATAAAGAAAAAGAAAACGTATTTTTGAATGGTAAAGAGTTAGGGTTGAGTGTTAAAATTAGTATTGTTTATAAATTGATAATTACTTGATCGAGTGGAATTTTTAATATTTTAGGAGCAATTATCAGTGTAGTCATAGAAATGAGGGATGTTTAATTGAAATAAGTCCCTCAAGTTGGAAACGGAGATCTCAGACTTACAATAATCAGCCTCCTTGTATTGCACTGCGTTGTGAAGTGCTAGAGCGAGATAAGTATGATACTTCGTGAAACTAGACTCCATGAGATCCAGTTCTGACGCGATCAGTTGCTTTGCTCCATGTTGCCAACGTTCTCTCACGTGGACGCACATTCCAAGTAGCTAATTGTGATGTAAAATGATTTTGCATGAATTGCGTTTCCTCGTTGATATAATATTTTTGTTAGTTTGAAGGGAAATGGTTTGCTTACGTTATTAATTGTGACCATGATATCAGAAAACTGAGAAGTTTGGAGACAATGCACGTGCACTTTCTCCAAGTACTCATTGTGAGCTGGAATCAAACAAAATGAATTTCTAGAAAATAGTTCATAATCGAATAAATACCTTGAATAATAGCATCTAAGCTATCAGCCATTGTCAACTCTTGTTCCAGTATCAAGCCAAGACTCTGCAATACTTGACCACATAGATAAGAGTGGATAGATCCAATTGCATGTAATAACCAGAATCTCAAGCTCTCCAGTCTTCTTGTGTGAAAATGGTGGAGCATGTCATTCATATTTACAGAATCCTTTCCTTCAAGGTCTGCAAATAATACAAGTAGGATTTTAAAATCAATGAATTGAAAAATATTCACTTGCAGAGTTTGAAACAAAATCATAATAAAAAATAAATTGAGGAATTCACACAGATTATTTTGCGAATATCAAAGGTTATTCAAAATGATGAAAGTGATGAGTTTGAAGGAAAAATAAGCAGGTTTGCGAGCCTTTTCGACAGAAGCAATGTGTGTTACTTTATGCGTTATTAGTCTATTTTTCTTTCTCCCTATCAATTCCATTGATAATTAGCTTCAATTTTAGTCCTTTTTCTGTGCAGATTTAGAAAAATTTTCTGAAAAATTCGCACACACATCCTAAAAACATCATATCTTTACATTTCATGACATTCTACGTCATTTCCATGCAAAATTATGAGATCTTCAAAATCAACGATTACAAAACTTCGGAAGCAAAAAGAAAACATTTTCCTTTGTGAACCAGCTTATGGCGCGAATTTCCATCGCGATGTCGAAATTCGACAGTTCGTACAATGGAATGGCCTATCGAATCAGTATTTTACGATAGAAGTGACGGAGACTAGTTTCTAATGAGAATGAGTTGGAAAAGAATTTTGAATATGTATCGTACAATATTTAATTCTATTTCCTTCATTTGTAGCATGACAAGCATGAGTTTAAAAATGATCAGATCTTTCCCGATAATTCCGTTGCACACGAATGAGTGTGTCAAGCGAGATATTTTTCTACAGAATTTTGCATATAATTATTATAGGCCATTTCGAAGAACAGAAAATGCTCTTTGAAATAGTAGATGAATAGTCTCATTTATTGGAATGATAGTCATGCAAAAAATAAATTAGAGCTAAATTTACGATAAAAATCATGAAATTCAATTTTTGTATAAAAACTTTCATAAGTTAATGAAAAGTGGTAGTAACCAAATTACTCATGTGTTAATTTGAAGGTAAGTAAAAGTGTTTTAAACTGAGCACAAAATATTTTCACAGATGTGAACAAAAACATGGAAATTTTCAAAACGTGACATGCCAAAATTGCTACATTATCCTTTATAATAATTGATCTAGTGGATAAAATAGATATGAGGTGTGACGAAATGAGTTTATTTGTCCTTTAATACTCTTGTTTCACTCCGACCTCGACNTGTCATCATTGACACACAACTAGAACAGTCAAACAGCTTCTTTACCGAGAAGCTGGACTCAGATGGCACCGTGAGAGTGCTGAGCTCTGCTCCTGCACGATGAGAAAGAAATCATATTTCTTTTCTCATCGTCCCACATTATAAATTTAATGTAACGTATTATTCATAATACGTCACATTGTATTCAACAAATAACCGACGTATTAATGACAATACGTCACACTCCCCTAATTAAACTATTGTTACCCTAGACAACATCTAGGTCACAATAGTAAGCAAATCAAAAGACATCACATATGTCTGTGCCTTATGGGCCTCACCTTATGCCTGAAGGGCTATCAAGACCCCTGCTATATGAGCGTTAAACCCATGCCTTAGCGGCAAGAATAATTCAAACTATATAAAGCTTGCTTATAGTCAATTTAAAATGCAATTAAGTTGCATGACCTTAAATACTTTCAAAAAAAAATCGTATCAGCAAAGGTACATAAATGTTAGCTCGACAGAAAAACCTAATCGACCGAACCCTTACAAAAATTCACTTTCATACATGAAGTTTCAAATCCTTGGGTCTTACATTAGGTGACAAATTATTTTGTATTTCCTATGGTGATCATATTTTCACAGGATACAAAACTATTTTCTATTGTCGCTTTGACATTTTCCCCTTTCATCACGATGAAGGACATCAAAAATTTATTTGAGCTCTACACAGCTCTGTATTTTTTTGAAATTTCTGTTTCAAAATTGCAGTGTGAGAATATGGGGGAAAAAGGAAGGAATGACGTATCTGTATTGCCTCCACATTTTGTTTTTCAATGAATTTCATCTCTATGATTGTTTGAGGGAAAGAACCTAACGAGTATGGATATGTTCTTTGCAAAATCATTCTACGATGACATCAATGATTTTTTTTTCTTCTTCACGAGGAATGCCTCATGATCATTACTTTGATATAGCATTTCTCCTCCATAAATCCAAAAATTACTCTTCTTGAAGTTCGGATATTTACGTCGAGTGATGAATAAATTCGGTCCACATTAAAAAATTCATAGATATCACGTTTTTATGAGTTGAATCCCATTTTTATTGGATAAGTCTCTCTTCTAACTTTTAGATTTTTTTGGGGTCCGTGCCTTCGAACCTCATCCCGTGATATCAATGCATAATTCAATTATTTTCCCAATTTTTCTCGAAGTCTCGAATTTTCCGTATCATTAACTATTTTCTAAATTTTCTGTTCTTTTTGAAATTTGTTTGTTTTTTTTCTATTTGCCACATTTTTTTTTTTTCAAGTCTCTAGCTGAAGCTTTTCTGAAGACAATCATTTATAATTTTCTTTCTTACCAGAAGGGATGTAACCGGTCGACAATTTTTTTCATACTTATCTCTCTCCGAGAGTACCCCTCCCACGCTAGATATGAAATTAATCTCCTGATTAATCGGCAGCAAGGATGTCTGGGTCTTGAGACTCGTAATTTCTCCAAATCCCTTGTTGTTGCGCTCCCTCTTGCCAAGCTTGGCAGAAGAGACCTGAGAGAGATCTCTCAGCTGTTATTGGCTGCTTATCTGTCAGCTGATGACAATAACCCGTCCAGATCAAGTAGCTGGGCCTTATCTCCCGACCACCTCGATTCAACGCTGCCCTGGGTCGTTCGTCCGCGTCACTCCACAGGAATGATATACCCTTATCCAGTTTGTATTGAAAATCAGGTGAGTCATCCAGTCCAGTCATAGCTTCGGTGGCACTGAAATCAGCTGTTGGTAATGACCCTCCCGGATCAAATGACTGATAACTTGTCACCCCGGAGTCTTCACTCATTACGATTCGGGGCATCATCCTTTCCCCAGAATCAAATTTCAGTGACTCTTCAAGCCCATTTCGAAATTGCACAGTTCCACATGTAAAGTTTATTTTCACGGGATTAGTGTCTCTGTCTTTAGACTTGCTTGCCACTGGTTTTTCACTGGCAATTATCACGTTTCTATTCTCAATTACAGTGTTGTTCACCATCATATCCGGACTTGCTGAATTTCCCCCGATTATCGCACTCCATTCGGAAACTTTATCAATGCCTTGAAATCCCTGTGACGATGGATCCCCTGGATTAAATTGCCAGGGCCTTGTCTCATCATAATATAGTTGTGTCAGTTGTCCACGGTCATTCTGTGCTGAAGGTACCCCTCCTTCACTTATCCCGAAAACGTTGGTTCCGATGATCGGTAGTGATGGAGCTTCTTCACTCAGTTTATGGTCTGAGTCAGGTGGGACATGATGATCAGCTGTCGCCTCAGTCGCTAGGATATCAGCTGATACTCGCATTCCTCCCGGGTCGAGTAACCGAGGTTTTGTCTCCCAGCCTTTGCTCACGATGGTTCGAGGAGCTACATATACTGTAGAGTACAGATGGAATGGATATCCGAGTTCATTTGGAAATTCCATATTTTCCGTTTCGAGATTCACTTTCAACGAACTTGTCATTGGGCTTGTCACTTTTTTTTCGTCGCACTCGAAGATACCTGTATTATTTAGAGGTCTCGATCTGTCGTTACAACCCGATTTGAATGCAAGCCTCACATGTAAATTATCGGTTTTAGATGTCTTAATAAATTCCCCTTCGGAATTGTTCTGAATTTTCATTTCTTCAGACGAGGTGTATGTCTTTTTACTTTCTCTGTCTGTACGGAATAGCGCAGGCCCATGAGCGTAGATGTCTGAGTATTTCGCAACCATGTCCTCTGCAATTTCATCGTATTTTGATGTTTGTGGCGCAGATTCCTCGACAGTCTTCTTTGCAAATCGTTGCCAGTGTGGCCCATATATCTGATCCGAATCAGTTGTGCCAGCCCACTTCCATATTCCGAGTAGAGGGTTGACCCTGGCAAGTTGTCCAATTATTGTCCCGGGGTCCCAAATTTCGCTGTTTTTTGTAGCTGCTTCTGCGTGTCCTGGAGCTCTTGCAATGCATGGCGTGGAAGCCATGCGATACTTTTCCGAGGTACTCAACTTGGTCGATGTCCTGCTCCAACCTCCTTGGAGCTGCTGTTCATCCCTCATGACCGTTGAGGAGAAGTACGGTGAAGTCCGTCTCTTATGGCTGAAGCATTCATTTTCATGGCAATATTTATGAATCGTGAATAATAATGGGACCTGCACTCTTCAGATCCCTATGGTGACGTCGTCTCGTCGATGGAAGATCTCTGTCGTTTCTCGTGTTCAGCAGCTGCCCATCAGCTGCAGACTAGATCTAGCTGTACCTTGCTGATCTAGCACGCTGTGTTTCTGGAGCCCTCTTCAAAATGACGACCCTCAACGTACCAGAAAAAAAAATGTAACTGCACGACTTCAACACACAAAATTCACGAGTGTCACATCAATCCACGGCAATGTCTACTTCATCAGTTTTCAGATTTAAAACTTCGTTGCGCACTGTACCGAACCCACGTAATTTCTTCGTATAATCCTTCAGTTCTGGAATCATCACATAATTTTCACTTTTAATCCTTTGAGTCACTGTAATCCTTGTTTTTGCACTCGCTTCCCCGAATGAGTGCCCAAAAACACGTTGGGCGCCAATGTGACGAAATGAGTTAATTTGTTCCGTTTTTAACTCATGTTCACCTCCGACCTCGGCTAGTCTCGGTGAGCTCACGGGTGGTTCGCTCAATCGGAGGGATAAGTGAAGGATAGAGGGAGGGTTAACGATATTAAACCGACCGTACTAATGTGGGTAAAATAATTATATATTAACTTCCTTTTATACACGGTAGTGTTTAATGGGTCGGTATAACGCGGTACTTGACTCGACTTTGGGACCTTGACTTGACTTGGTTCTTGGTTGGCTGAAGGCCTGAGCTCAG